GGGGGGTGGGGAAGGGTGGGGTATGAGGGAGGTGGGGAGTTATATTGTAAAAATTTTAAAAATTTTCAATTTAAAAAAAAAAACATCTTCATCAATGATTTGGACAAGGGGATTCATGGGGAACTCATCAAATTTGCAGACGACACCAAGCTGGCAGGAATAGCCAACACTCCAGAAGACAGGCTTAAGATACAGAAGGATCTGGACAGACTTGAATACCGGGCACTATCTAACAAAATGAAATTCAATGGTGAAAAAAGCAAGGTTCTACATTTAGGCAAGAAAAGCCAAATGCACAGCTATAGTATAGAGGGTACCTTGCTCAATAGTAGTAACTTTGAGAGGGATCTCGGAGTCCTAGTGGACAATCTCCTAAATATGAGCCAGCAGTGTGCTGCAGATGCCAAAAATACCAACACAGATATAGGCTTATCCAATAAAATTTACTAAAACATAAATGAGACTCTGAATAAGAACTTGTCAGATATAAAGAGAAAAATAGATGAGGTTTTGAAAATTAAGAAGGAAATAAATATGAACTTTCCAAGAACAATCAGAATAATTTCCTTTCATTGTATTAAAAAGAGAGAGTATTTAAACTATTGAAGAATTATGAAGCAAGGTTCAACAACAATCAGAATGAATTACAGGGATTTTTTTTCTGTGTAAAAATAAAAGGAAAGCAAAGTTGTTGAGAGATGAAATGAGATATATTGTTATTCTAGGTGAGGGTTGGGTTTTAGTTTTGTTTTTGTTTTTTGTTTTGGATTTGCTTATATCTTAACTGGAAAAATATGATGATGATGATGATGACGATGACAACAACAACAACAACAACAACAACAAAAACAACAACAACAACAACAACAACAACAACAACAACAACAATAATAATAATAATAATAATAATAATAATAATAATAATAATAATAATAATAATAATAATAATAATAATAATAATAATAATAAAAGTTGGAAGGGACCTTGGAGGTCATCAAGTCCAACCCCCTGCTCAGGCAGGAAACCCTATACCATTTCGGACAAATAGCTGTCCAGTTTCTTCTTAAAAACTTCCAGTTTTGGAGCATTCACTGCTTCTGGAGGCAGGTTGTTCCACTGGTTAATTGTTCTAACTGTCAGGAAGTTTTTCCTTAGTTCTAGGATTGCTTCTCTCCTTGATGAGTTTCCATCCGTTGCTTCTTGTCCTGCCTTCAGGCGCTTTGGAGAATAGCTTGACTCCCTCTTCTTTGTGGCAGCCCCTGAGATATTTGAAAACAGCTATCATGTCCCCCCTTGTCCTTCTCTTCATTAAACTAGACATACCCAATTCCAGCAACCTTTCCTTATATGTTTTAACCTCCAGTCCCCTAATCATCTTTGTTGCTCTTCTCTGTACTCTTTCTAGAGTCTCAACATCTTTTTTACATCGTGGTGACCAAAACTGGATGCAGTATTCCAAAACTGGATGCAGTATTCCAAGAAGGCATTGTAGAGTGGTATTAATACTTTGTGTGATCTTGATTCTATCCCTCTGTTAATGCAGCCTATACCTATACATATATATATATATATACTATACCTATACATTTGGTTTTTCTTGCCTAAATGTAGAACCTTACTTTTTCACCATTGAATTTCATTTTGTTAGATAGCGCCCAGTGTTCAAGTCTGTCCAGATCTCCCTGTATCCTAAGCCTGTCTTCTGGAGTGTTGGCTCTTCCTGCCAGCTTGGTGTCGTCTGCAAATTTGATGAGTTCCCCACTGGGCCTAGAACAGAGCCCTGGGGCACCCTCCCTCCATGTAGATGTGGTTCCATTGAGGACCACATGCTGAGTACAGCCAGTCAGCCAGCTACGGATCCATCTGGTGGTGATGCTGTCTAACCCGCATTTTTCTATCTTATCAAGTAATAGGTTGTGATCTACTTTGTCAAATACCTTACTGAAGTCCAAGTAAAT